AGTCTGTAAGATGTGGGGCCCCCTGTCATAGGCCGGGCAAGCAAAGTTATACTGTCAGCTATCATCATGTGATAGTGAACAACCAACCAGAATGTGCCTCGTTCTGGTACATGAAGTAGGTCAGCTTGAAGATGACGTTCAGACGATATCATAAGATATGAACAATTGGACAGTGTCAAGGTGATACATAATCAGTATTCCACAACAAGTATTTACCCCCAAAAATTACTCCCAGTGTGTGTTTTGTTTTTTACTTTTACTGAACCAGTTAAAGCACTGAGCTGCAGCAGTCCGGTCCATCTGTCATTGATACCATGTTTTAGTTCAACTCCAGGCAGCCATAAATGATGCTGCRTTCCAGTAGTCCTGGGAAGTGGTAATTTCCCTGTTCCCATTGGTAGATTTAAACTGGAACRMCCCCTCCAGTGGTAATATTCCACTCGTAAAGTAGAAGAAACAAAACTGCCCCCAGTTTCAACTTCAAGATGGSGGCTACTYGCAGCTTTAGAAAGTTAACTCCGTAACTTTTACTATTAATTATCTTTCTTAATTATTTTGTTCATGTTTAATCACTCACACAAGTAGTGTGTTTTCTGTGCAATATGATACGTATTAAAAGCAATGTTTATTTGCATGACATACGTAATAGAGCTCTCTTTTTGTCATTGTGTATATTGTAGCAGTGTTGTAGGTAGTTTAGCAGCAACAATACAATTGCCTGTCGACTAACTGGAATGCAGTTTCATATGGTTTRTTGGGAAATGACGTCACTACCATTTACCAGTTCCGGGAATACGATGTTAAATGGAACGCAGCATGATTCTTCAGTCTTTCATGCAAGTGGAGCCGTTTTGTAGCAAATGTATACTTGTGCACAATGCAAGTGTGTTTGTCTTTTACATGTGAACTAAAACAATTTTGTTGGACAAGGTGAGAACGAGTTTGAGAGCATCTTGTAACTGTGAAGGATGTGTCTCTTTTGGGTAAATTCCAGGCACTCAAACATGGAGCACCAATAACTGGGCTAATATAAAAATCAAAAGCAGATAGATAGGGGTAAAAAAAAAATTACTGAAATAAATGCATTATTTTATGTTAAAACTATTGAGTCAAAAATGCATTAATGACGGATTTTAATAAGGTTGATCTTCCCCAAAAACCATTAGAGAGTTGTACAGTTACCATCAGTTTTTTCAAGAGTATTTGRAACAACAAAAGTAAAAAGAGAAAATTTTAGGCTGACAGGAACAGTAGTGTGTATTGACAACACCAAAAAGTTCAAAGCTAAATTAACTTGTCTGATTTTCCCCCATGAGATCTTTAAGGGTTAATATTAAAAAGATACTTTTTTAGCATCTTTTAAATGACTTTGAATAAAGCACACACCTGTTAACTTTATATGTCCGGCTTCATCAAGCAAGATGCTGAAAGAGAAAATATTTTGTCCAGATGTCAGCTTCAAACAGCAGCAGTTTTCCAACATATACAGATCTTTGTTTCCTGTCACCTAATGACCTTTACGGTATATTTGTGACAGATTATAAAGTTCTGAAGGTTTAAAGTACACAAAMCAGAGAACACCACTTAAACCTACATAACATATAAAATACAGTTGTTTATCTGAGCAATTTCTGTAAAAAAAAAAACAGATTTTATTCAAAGTGGAGCAAAAATGATTGAAACTGGAGTATTTGATATTGTACTTCACAGGGTGAAAATATTAGCTATCTTTAATTTTGAAAATAAACAAGAGTGGGTTCATTTTCGTGTATTGTAGACTATAAAATGTTTTTCTAAATATATGAAAGAAACCTTTTTTCACATCAGTGTGAATTGTCAATGAACTTAGACAAAAAGGTACAACCATAAATCCAGTATCTCACGGAGCTGCAAGTGTTTGCGACAAATAATGAAAGTCGTTGGCAAGAAGGTTTCTGATTCTGTMAAAATACTGTAAACCACTGTAGGAAATTTAATAACACATTCATGAAAACATAACTGGATGGGCTTCTATAAGTGATTAACTTTTAGAGYCAACCCAATACACGATGGTCATCAGGACCAAAACCAACTTAGAAAACAAAAATGTGGCTGTAACTCCGTCAGTTTAACAGATACGTGTGAAAATTTATGTGGTGATCGCTGAGAGACATCCTTAACATATAATCTACACTGAACCTCATCTTTTCTTAAACTTTAGCATCAACTGTTGGCAGTCAACCCAGTCTGTTAGCAAAATWTCACACGCACCACTGCAATATTTTGATACATGTGTGCACATCTCATAACTACGCACAAAATTAAATGACTCAAAAGATGTTTACAGGATTTTAATGGTACTGTTTAATATAAGCAGCAGCTAATGCTAAAACTAACACTACAAACTTGTTCAATCATCTGAAACACCGCCATAAACCAGAGTAGGCGGAAAGATGGAAAATGTGGGCTGAGGCCACGATGTCAGGGCGCTTCATGAGCGGCAAAGCAAGAGCTGGAAGGAGATATCGCGGGGTGGGGTGTGGCATATTGCATTACTAAAGATATGCTACCACTCCATATTGTAGAAAAGGTGGGTTTCAATTCACAGCTTACTATTTTAATCTGTTTAAAAGAAGAAGTCAGTTTTGACTGATTTTTAGTTTAGTTTTATAACACAGGGTTTTTTTAAGAGTCATATATCATCTGTTAATCATCATCATAATAGTTATCAGCTAAATGCCACATTTAATCATGAGTCGTGACTAACTTTTTGCCAATAATGCCCAACCCTAGCCAAAACTAAAAAACTACAGGAGCTGTATACCGGCAATCAGCTGCTCAGATTTTAAAAGATCAGAATGTGCCACAAAAAAAGTCAACTTCTATACATGTTGAAACTCCTGGCAAATACTGTATTAGCCAAAATGTCACCACGTTTGAGCAAATGGGTAATGTAGTGAGATTCCAAGCGACAGTTTGCATCTTTTCTTGTAATTTCGTGTCTCCAACTAGTAGTTGGAGACACGAAATTCTGCCACAGATGCAGTGCAGTGAGAAACTGGCTTTAATGACTTTGCAGGGTGGTAGATACAGTGTGGTGCTAAGATTAATCAGGTTAAGGTGTTRGTCGTGATGATTCATACTTCTCTGGCTTGAGATCTCTGTAAACTATGCCCAGGTTGTGAAGATGGTCGAGGGCCAGAGCCAGCTCTGCAAGGTAGAATTTCACATCTTCCTCTGTAAACATAACCTAATAAGAACTGGACAAATTTACTCTCTGAACTTAGAGGAGAAATTCAGCAGCAAATAGAACAAAATACACAACTCCAGTATTAAGCTTCAGTTGCAACAAACAAGAGAAAACAAGCATTAATATTGTCATTATGTCAACATTTCAACATATGATTGAGCCGGCTGTAGCTTTGACACTGCTAGCAGCTACCGATTTGGTTTGTGAGACACACTTTCAAGTCGAGGTCTGTCTGGAGAACAAACGCACATTGTTGAAATGCTGCAAAAGCTGTTGGGAAAAGCTGATTTGAGCCTCTAACAGACAAGTATTTTTACAATAGAAAAGCAAGTAAACATTCACAGAAAAAAAGGTGTTTGCATGAGGAACTAAAGTCAGAATCGAAATGAATAGCACACAGGACAACCAGGGACAAACGGCTGGGGTGTGTTTAGCATTTTATAAAAGAAACAAAATAATCCAGCACCTGTTCAATTTGTAACTGACAACTTATTTCCTTTGGGTTTAAAAATAAGCACCGTAACATCTGTTCAGCTGATTTCCACAAACATGACTGATAAGTACTCAAATAAATAATACATAAAAATAGGCTTGGGCGGTATGAAGGCCTTTTATTATACTGCGGTGTCAAAACATGATGACTGTATATAAAAATTATGATGGTATGAGTCACGTGAGGTGAAGTGATAAATTTCTACAAGGTTGCTATGAAAACTGGGACATAAACATTTCAGAAGACGTCCCATGTTGTTACTGACATGTGTTCTGAGTTTCTCTTCTTGAGAAAACAAACGGGGTTGGGGGTGGGGGCAGAGTCATCCCCCTCTGTCGTGCCTCCAAATGAGGTAAAAAAAAAAAAAAAGAAAGGGAAATTTTAAAAAACCCTTGGAATGAGTTCAACACGCCACAGACACCTCTCTGTAATACCGTGGTATTTTCTAAAGGTTTTACCATGGTATGAAAATGATCAATACCGCCCAACCCTATATAAAAATCTAAAAACATATGATGTTTTTCTTCTTGGTAAGCGACATCAGGGGAAAGTAAGCTTTAGTTGCAACAAAATATAAAGGTTAAAAAAGTTGTCAGCTTACCTCTTTGGATAAGCGAGTGAATACATCCCCTCCCCTGAGAAAGTCCAGTATTAAATACAGTTTCCCTTCTGTTTGAAAGGCTGCAGAGGAGAAAGAAATAAAGTAATTAAACGCTGGTTTAATAAACAAATATAAAGTTCAAACACTTTTTGTAACAACGGGCAAAAACATTCAAGATCTTCTGTGTGAACACATTTCCAGGGTTCCAACATTTTCCCTCATTTGAGGCCTGTGTTCACTGGCTTCCAGTTCACTTACAAATTCTTACATTTCTAACAAACAAAACTATTTTAAAATTAATATGTATGCTTTAAAACATTTTAACAGTTCTAGCTCCTTKCACTGCTGCACTCTCTAAGGTCAGCAGAGAACCTGCTTGATATCATTCCAAGGAAGAGAGACAAGCTCAGAGGTGACAGAAGTTTTTCACTGCAGGTTTAAAACAGGAATTATTTACCTCCTCGTGCCCTTTTTAAATCTCGTTTGTAAACAGTTTCACTCTCCAACCTTTGACTTTGTGTGGGATGTTGACCTTTCACGTTATGGTGCCTTTATTTTTTTACATTTGTTCCATTTACTTGTTTGGTAGATTTATGTATTTATTTTTGTCATTTTTTAGCACACAGCACTTATGTCAGCTTGTTGTTTTTAAGTGCTTTATAAATACAAATAATAGTGTGGTACTGCACACAATTTCTAATATAAATTCCTAGCAGAATGATACAGAATGATACAAATAAAAAGAAATTGGTTGACTTTTACACTCCCACATAATTTAAAGTTACCAGTAGGGGTGTAACRATTCATCGATCCATTCTGATATATCGGTTCAATGGTTAATGATTCAATTATATCCAGGAAAAATKAAAATATCAATCTATATCGTCATGTGCTCGATGTGAATTAAAGAGTAACTTACCCCAAAATTAACATTTTTTAGCTGATAAACTGCCTAGAATGTGTCTAAAATGTTATATAGTACTGTTTGTGCTATTTTTAATGTTTTTGTGCGTATTTGTCCAAATCTGTAACATTTGGTCTAAAAACGTCTTTTTGCTGCTCATATGGGTGGAGCAGTGGTACTGCAGGTTAATTTACATATTGGTTAACGGCTCTCCGCTGTGACGTGCTTCTCCACAGTTTCGTCACAGCGGCTGTGTTCTGGTATAAAAGCCTCTCTCTAAGACACGCCCCTGCAGCAGTCAGAGGGTGGAATGGTGCGTTCACACCGAACGCGATTTCAGCGTCGGGAGCATCAGGTTTACATGCAAAGTCTATGGTGGATGCGCTTCAAGCAACGTCGGGAAGTGCTGCGGCGCCTCAAGTGCGATTAGAGCAGCGCGATTTGAACGATTTGAACGATCTGAGCGTNCAGCAGTCAGAGGGTGGAACAGTTAGCAAGCTTAGCATGATCGTCTGTTGACCTTCAGCACTCAGGTGAGGAGAGCTGACTGCTGCGCTGCTCTCTCTCTCCATCTCTCCACACACACACACAGCGGGAGGGGAGGAGGGAAAAAAAGGCAGAAACACAGCGGGGCAGCTGCAGCCCTAACGGACCAAACTTCAGTCAAACACGACCCAACAGTTTTATTCCTGATTTAAACTAGTGATCTTGAGAGCAGCTGCAGCTGTATGCTTTTATTTTTTCATGTCAGGCTGTCGCGGAGCGCTCCATTCCTCTGTCCTGTGAGGCGGACAGCTCAGCTGAGGCTGTCATGTTCTCTCGTCCTGGCCACACCTCCGCTCTCTAATCCCTCCTCCCCTACCCACTTTGATGCATTTTTCAAATTTCGCCTTGGGGCGGAGTTATCTTTTCACAGGGGGGTAAGATACACTTTAAATTCATATGCCTAACACATTCATTGTGTTGGATGGGCATACAATATCGTATTATAACCGATCGCAGACATTTGAATTGAATCAAAATCGTATTGTGACACACTTTGTGATATTGAGAAATATCAAATCATCATCCAAACAAATTGATGTAATATCGTATCATGATAAAGCAGGTGATTTACATCCCTAGTTACCAATTAACCTAATATTTTGTTACCTACCAGGTAAAACGAGCCGAGTGGGCACTCGGTTCTGTCGACAATTTAAATTTAATCTTTCAGAAAATGAAACAGTGGATAGAAATTTTAAAAAAAAAACACTGGAAACACTTGTGTTTCTTCAGATTTATCTTTCTTCCAAACCAAATTCCAATCTTTTCAAGCCTGCAGAGGAACCCTGCATTTAGTTGCATGCTTTCTGTGTACAGGAGTGTCAATCTTACCGTAGTGCAATTTCACTATGAAGGGGTGATTAACTTCCACTAAAATGTCTCTCTCCATCTTGGTACGAACTCTGTCCCTGACTGGAGAGACAAAACAGGAAGAGAAAGTGAGACAGAAATTTACCACAGAACGCACTGAGAAATCTGTGCAATGGAGTTTTGTGCAGACATAAAAAACTGTGCAGCGTTACCTTTCAAAGATGCTTTTTTTAATACTTTCATTGCATATAACTGACCAGCATCTGGACCCAAGATCTTCCTGACAAGAAACACCTGCGTGAAGTAGGACAAAATTTTCAGGACATAAACAATGATGGAGACATTTAGCCTCAAAGGGACATTTTTTTCAGCTCTATTTAACTTTCTTAAAGCTCCCTGTGCCTCGCAGTTCAGCACTTTTCCTCCATTTATAGAACGTCTGTGATAGAAAAATAAAGGAAGTATGACCATGAACACTCTCACAGAAACAATGCAACACGCTGCAGAGTCGACTATCTGTTTTGCTACTACTTTTGTTGTTGCTACGGCTACCAGGTAGTAGCACAAACAGCTGACAATGAGACTAACAAAATAAAATCTGGGCTGACGTGATTTATTGGATGAATGAGAGATTATTTTCATAAATCAATTTATAGGTAGATTTGGGGCCTGGGGTAACTCGGCGGTCAGCGCCATGGTCTTGTAATCTTGAGGCTGCAGGTTCGAGCTCAGGTTGCATCAAAAAAGGGCATCTGGTGAAAAACAATTGCCAAATCTTTCATGCGAGTTTGCTCTCTGTGGCGACTCCTGCAGAAAGGAGCAGCCAAACGGTCTCTAAATRAAGACTTTAATAGAGAAACACAGGAAAATAAAGGTTACAGTAATAAGGGCCTGCACAAATATCAGTATAACCTATAATAGGGCCTGTCAAAAGGCAGACTGCAATCTAAATATGGAAACAAAGTCTTATCTGGACCTGGAACAACAGAGAACAAAAGATGGTAAAACATGTTTGTCGGCATTTTCAAAACATGCGCGCACAAGATTTGACTTGGAGAAAAAGATGTCGCTGAGCATGGAGGAATCTGAATATTACTCCAATAAGACTCAAACTTTGCTGACAAGACGGTGCAGGAAAAGTCTAAGAGAGCAGCGACTGATCTGAACGCATCATGTCGTTGTCAGCACTGAATACTGTCAGATTAAACACATGGATCCAATGCTTGAGTTTGACAATCTGGTTTCTGAGTTGTGCAGCAGTGAGTATTTCCTTGAAACAACACAAAATGATTACTTAAATAAGAACAAATTGAAAAGAAAAAATATAAAGAGCAAAAACTATGGAGTCAAACTGAAGTGCAAAGAGAATAAAACAAGTCTTGATGCACTTTGTCAATAGTGGATCTAATGTGAACGTGTGAACTAGGGCTGCAACGATTAGTTGACGTAATCGACAACATCGATTATAATGCATTTTAATGTACCAGCAATGCAATCCATGAACTGCTGGGGCCAGAATTGCTTCTATTGTCTGTGCTTGTATTGTTTACTGACAGAAGAAGCAGCCGCAGCAGATACATCAAAGAGCGATAATGGCGAAATGCAAAGACGGTCACGTCAAAAAAGGCAAAACAAAGAAGATTTAAACGTTAAAAATCTGGTGTAATTTGATCAAAAATCAATCAAAGAAATTAAAATGCTGACTTGATCATTTCATGGCAGGTCAACGGCTGTGAAAACTTCATGATCACCTGAACTGCTAACATGCTGGAGCCGTGATTATGTCTTCWGCAGATGGGTAAGTTTCAGAAAGTTTGTTTGTTGTCAGGTTGATGCCTCRTAGATCTGATTTTCAGTRACTGGTGCTGTAGCAACTGTCTAGAATTTTGTTAGTTTACCATCAGGAAACAGTGTTTATTGGAAGTGGAGCTATCAGTCATGCTAATGTCAGCTAAAGCTTCAAATGCTTCATGTTAAATCCCTAAATTATAGTAATAATACATCCTCTCCTCTCCCGTTTTTTTAATCGTGGTGAAATCTTATTTGAACTTTTGGTCGGTCAGATTCAGCAATAGGATGGATTATCTTCTTACTTTTATGCACCTGAWTGTTGCTTTAACCAAAATCCTTCTTTGGTTTATTTTGGACTTGCAAAGCCACATCTACACCCTGCAGGGCAGGTTAACAGCCCCTCATGCTGGGGGAGAGGCTGCTATTTTGAGTCATTTGGATATTAGCTGTTTGTTCAAAAGACTACTTGCAGTTCAATTTGTATTATATAATTTAACATTTATTATCTTTACATTTATTATTGTTGAAATACATCTGAGTAAGCTATTAAGCTCAAGGTTCAAATTAATATGTTCCATGGGTCATTTTAATTTGCTATGGGAACTTGTTATGTTAAAGTAGAAAGACCGGATAACAGGGTGACATTCACAGATGTCAGCAGGTGAGAAGAGACGTGCACTGGAGCTGGAACAGGAGGTGCGCCCRCAGAAGGACGTGACAGAAATAATCCTTGACAAATCAAAAAAAGAAATTATCGCAGATTAGTYGACTATCAAAATAGTCATTAGTTGCAGCCCTAGTGAGAAGACAGTTAATAAATGTATTGATTAGTGTGTGTTTGCACAAGAATTTGAAACGCTCGTCAGCATTTTACCATCTAAAACTATTCAGTTACTTTTCTSTTTTGTTTGGCTTTTCCCCCACCTGATAGTATGAAAATCTAATTTTATTTTAACTGTACGAGAAGTGAAAAGAGAACCAACAGCAAAAAATATATATATTAAAGCTGCAGTAAATTGAACATTCTGTGACAAAATCTAAACAGTGGCTGTGTAAATCCTGTTTAAAGTYTCAAAATACCAGTTCAGTCCAGTTMAGTCCAACTCCCTGTGACCTGTTCAAAGTTTGAATGACATTTTTACTGTGAAATTTGACTGAGCTACAATACTCCAAAGAGGATCGAGTTCTGTTGTGTCTGGGAAAATGTTTTCATCTTTTTTAAAACTTATTTTACGATGTATGATGTACTGCGACAAAAAGTCCTGATCAAGCGGCAAATTGAGCTTTCTTTTTCTTTTTAAAATATCCATAGCTGTGGGAGGAATAGCAAACCAGCGAGTGAAATTGTAAAACAATAGCTGATTAGTAATAATGGTGCTTTGATGCTGAAGTACCACTCTTAATTGTTCTCACATGCAAATTATTTGGTCAAGGCCTATTCTAAATTTTTTAATATATACAAAAAAATAACACAGATTCTTTACATTTCATCTCGTCATTCATAAATCTGCAACTACAGGTGGAAGAAATGAGCTGCTCTGGTGCTTCTCGAGTGTTAAGTGATCTGCTGAGTGTGCTCACCTTGCCGAAAGAGCCCTGACCGAGGACTTTTAGCAGTTCAAACTGAGAAGGATCAGCTTTCTCACAGCCCTCTTTCACATGGTGGGTGATAGGAATCTCTTTATACGTCCCATCATCCTACAATTAGTGATAGCGCCATGAAACAAGCACGCTMTAATAGAGGAGCAGTGTGTTCAAGATAAATACACAAAGACTTAAACGCAGCTTTACTTACACAGTTTGAGAATGACTCTCCCTCCTCCATGGGCTCGTCCATGATCTGATGTCCATTGACCTGCAGCGCACACACAAACAAATAGTCAAAAACTATCAGGCGTCAACAATAAACATTTTCACGAAGCTTATTCATTCTTGTTTTTCGCTGAGCAGGACGGTGACTGCAGCTGCTGCACGCCCACATGAAGGATGGAAGATTCAACAGATGAAATCGATGAGTCACATGCAATAYGACGGTGCTCTCACTTTTCCAACTAAAGCTTAAATTTGTTGTTAAACACTCAGGATTTCATACTTTAATCTCACCCAGCTGTCCAGCTTTCATTCCGTCCTCATAAACCCTTCAGTATTAGCRTCCCTAGCCTAATCCCCCAGCCAGTGCAAAACAACATCTCTGACCAGCTACAGTCGGCATTCATCCTCTTAGGATGAAAAGCAGATCTTGAGCTGGTCTGGTTGACAAAGGCGGAAAAAATGTACACGTTAGGACTGATTTATCTGTATTTTGTTCACAAAATCAATGTAATGGAAGAAGGCTGTCACATTTGTCAGCATCAGGATGTAAATAAACCAACAAAAATCTCAGAAATAACCACATCTAGGTCTGTGCGTTTCACTTTTGTGCTGAAGCTCAGTCTGCGTTGTGCATTTGGTCCGGTGCSTTTGTGTGTGTTGGATTCCATCAAGGCTCTGAAGAGGGGAGGATGAGTCATAGTGCTAYGCAAGCCCACTCAGTGGGCGGAGCCACCGACACACACTCTGTGAACAGAAGGCAACAAAACACTTTCCAGCATCTTACTGCTACAGAACCACTACAACATCCCCTGTCCCCTGTAAACATTTCAAACCACAATACCACCCCAGACCCCACATACGCCTAAAGGGGGGGAAACCTTTGTGCATCTGTGATAAAATACCACCCAGGCTGGTCAAAGCCAGGGGCAACACTTGTGTCATAATTCACACTTAGATTTTCACTCCCACCTTTTGCTGTGGCTCATCACAGCTTGTAACCGAGTGCAGCCTACACGCGCAGCACACCCAGGCAAGCCTTTTTATACACGCCTGTGACTCTCACACAAATACCCTCATCTCAGTATCACACAWAAGGTTGATAAAACCTAAGTGTTAATGTCAAAAAGGATGCAAAGAGGATTAAAATGCAAGCATTGATGCCTGCGAGTCTGAATTTTTGTTGTGTGCAAAGATTTAAAAAAAAAAACTCAGGGAATTAAAAAGATGCAGCAAACAATGGAAAAGTGTTAAAATCGCAGCAAAGAATTCAATTTGTAAAGATTTCCAGATCTGTAACAGGTATAGGTTAAAAAAAGAATAGTTAGTTAAGCAAAACTTGGCTTTAAAACACATTTAGACAGTTTTGATTATTCATGCGAAAATCCCTTTAATGGAGAGGTTTGATAGCAGGATGGATCAGTTTCACAAATGCAAACGAAAACCAAACATTTCAAAGGGTTGAGACATGACATCGTTATGAGTTGTTTTGTTTTGCATCACAAAAGTCACTTGAGATGATCTGCAAAGACATGTAAACTTAACAGATCCCTTATGACTTATTTTTATGATCCAATGATGAGTTAAASAGTACTTAACTCCAATTTTAGTCACAAGTGAAAGTTAAAAGTTATTAAGTCGCTTACAAATCAACACCATGACTAATTTTAAAGTGCAGCTGACAAGTCTGCGGTCATGTTTTGTACTTTCCTGACCTAATTTAGCAGCAAGCGTAACTTTAACACACACGCAGATCTTTCTATCTTACCATGTGCACAAGGAAGCGTTCAACAAGCCCCCCCTGTTTATCTTGACGGCGGCTGTTTGTTAAAAACTTGCCTCCAACTTTCGAGCCTGCAAACTGTCAACTAGCATGCTAACGCTAGCTAATGCTAGGCTATGAAGTAAACTCCGGAGCGGCGTAAATAACAACAAAGAGCTAAAATGAGCTCACGTGTCAATAAACAAAGAAACCAATACGTGTACCGATGAAAGACTGGCAGTAAAAGCCCAGACGAAAGCTGCGAAACTGATACAAAGTGGCGCCGAAACTAGAATAAACATTAAAAACCAGCTGTTAGCCTAAGCTAACGTGTTAGCATGCATCACGGTGCGCTGCGGGCAGGTCGTGACGCGGTTTCAAGCCTCGCAGGCTAACTTAACGGGACGTCACAACGCAAAAATATCCGACCTGATAAGATAAATATGCAAAGCATGCATTTTCCCGACTCACCTCACTGCTAACGCTGTTTACCTCCATCTTGTTGCCAGGAATTTCCTCCCTTCACGTCTAAGGCATCGTAGTCCACCTAGTGCCCCTCTCCACGTTGCATGTCTTTTCTCCCTCTCTCCCTGTGGAAGTCCGTGTTTTCTGCTGCCTGGGCTTTTAGCCGACCGGTACGTCAGGAGGGACGGGGGGGGGATGAGAGGAGCAGGTCGGTTCGTGATGAAGAGGGAAACTGCTTAACGTTGTTGACCGGGACCACGAACGCTTCACCGCTTTTACCCTGCCATGACTGCGAATATGGCGGCCGCCGTGGTACCTGACCGTTGGTGAATGAGAGTTTTATTGACGTATTTGTGACGCAGCTCAGTTAAGGATTTCCCCCCCAGTCCAAAACCAAAGCAGCACCGTTTCCAGACAGAGAAGGAGGACGCGTGGATGTGGTTTAGGAGGAGGGAGGAGGGGTGGGGGGACATGCTGTGAACGGACACACTCACATCCGGTGTGCAGACACACAGACCTTTCTGCCTGAAACAGTAATTAGCGCCACTGTGTCACAAGCGAGGAGTTTCCAAAAATGTCGACGCAAGTTGGAAACAACAGAGCCCCCTCTCATGACCAGTCCAAGCTTCATGTTTAGGGGTGCAGGGATGTTTAAAAGCCACTGTACACAGCAAAATCAAAAGTGTTAGATTTCCAGTGTTAGTGTTGTCTGTTAAAAATACAGTGTTAATTTAACACTTCTTGGTCTAATTCAACAATGT